GGCTTCACTTGTCTCTTTTGACGAGTTGTAATATGGTGCTACGAATGGCGAGACTCACTGACGATGCCGGTGAAACGTCTGGAAATGTACCACGTCCACGGTTATACTCTGGAAATGATGATGCATGCAATGGACTCCGGACTAGGTGAGTTCCTCTTAGTCTTCCTACCAATATGACCAAGTTTCGAAAACAAGGTCAAACAACTTCAAAATTAATTAAGTTTTTAAGGGCGTGAATAAAATAAAAAAGTTCATTTTGGAAAATTAATTAAGCTATTGGGATACAATGTTTTTTCTTACTTGTATTATCCAGGCACTTACTCATTGGGAGGCTACATCGTCTAAAATATTATTTTCAATTTCAAAAACTTTCTCAAACCCTTTGGACTCTATTGTCATTAAAAAAGCTTTGAAATTCAAGAAAAACATTCTGATATTTACTTCAAAAAGCTAACCTATACAAAGTTAAAAAGTAAGATAAGCATAATGTTCGTGGCCGCAAATATATACACCATTTTCACACGCCTTTTATTGTGAGCTAAGGATGGGATATCTAGATGGCTACAGAATTTTTTGGTATAAGTGCTAACAAATGTACACAAAAATTAAATCCAAGTATGCAACAAACCTGGAAATCCCAAATTCGACGTCCAAATTGGAACCGCTCCCGGGTGTAATTCGAGGCATAGTCAAAACAGCCTTGTGCTAGACCAAGCATCTGAGCAGCTATTCCAACACGACCTTCGTTCAGCATACTAATAGCGTATTTGTATCCCTGTCCTACGTGTCCAAGGACAGCCTGTTCCTTGTTTACGCGTACGGAATCTAGGTGAATTTCACAAGTGGAAGAAGCATGAAGGCCCATTTTCCGCTCTTTCTTGCCTATGGTCAAGCCAGACGCATCACGAGGCACCAGAAAAGTGGTAATACCCCTATGTTTCTGGAATGGAATAAAAACTGCATGCAAAGGAGGAATAGGGTACGAAAAAGTCACGAATCATTTGGAGAAAACGTATTTTGACGGATCTAATATAGACTATAATATATGCCACAAAATCTTATATTTAGTAGATTAAGCACCCTTTCATAAAGATTTGCTGTGGATTAAGAGGGCTGCTATCCCAAATACAAGATGATTCCTCTTAACACTAACATTAGCAAATATCTAAGTAGTTATGTAGTAAATGGCAAGGTTAAGTGTCTTAAGCGATGTTTCAATATTAAAAATATTAATTTTGTTAAAGTCTAAAGAATGCTTTCCTGCCAACGAAGATGATAATGATGGAATGTACCACTTAAAAAATTAAAATATGGATGAATAATGCTACCTTTTAAGCCAGTCATTATTTGAATCTATAAGACAAAACAATAAGATGACAGGCAAGGCTAGGAAATTGGAATCAAAAGCCAGTGAAGTTAAATCCTACATTAGAATCAAAGGCAACTCTCCTGTGATAAATTGAGATAGTATCATACCGGATTATATAATGCCACCCATATTCGGTCATACGCATGGAGGATGCTATAAAATTGAGATAATAAAGCCGAAGGATGTTGTGGTGGACGAGGATACTGTCAAAGCACAGATCTTTTAAGTCTGGCCTAAGTGCATGTATCTAAAAAATTCAATCATTCAATATGAAATGAAATCCTGTTTTAAGGACCGAGGAAAACAGTTCCCGACCATGTGATGCGAAAGCAGAGTTTTAAAACATTCGCATGCTTTAAGTAAGCAATATTCAATGACATGTTTAATATAGTCCTTATGATGTGCTAAACGAAATGAGACTCTAATTATGAAAGGATATTTTTCGAATTATTGACGAATTAAATAAATCAGGAGTACTACTAATTACAAATATAATTTCTTACGTGAAGGCCAAAAGAAAAAGAATAAATCAGTGGCTTCCAAATCGAACAAAACACCGGCAGAGTATGAAAAAATAAATAAATTGGCGGTTACCTTTTCGGGATGAGCATTTGCCATTACCAGGAACAAACCAGCTTCGGAGGCATTACTGATCCAACATTTAGAGCCCTTCAAAATAAAATCACCGCCATCCAATTCAGCTGTGGTTTTTAAGGCAAATGCATCAGAACCTGCTTCACTTTCTGAAAGACAAAAGCTTCCTGTCTATGAAAATATTGTAAATTGTAACAAACTATTTGGGTTGCTAACTTAGGCAGCCAATAGTCCTTCTGAGAAGGAGTGCCTAGCTTATTTATTAAGTTAATAACTAAAGTGTTATGGATATCAACAAGAAGAGCAACACTAGCGTCGAATTTTGCAATCTCCTCAATAGCAAGAATGGTAGAAAAGAAATTAAGCCCAGAACCACCATATTTTTCTTCAACTTCGATTCCCATTAACTAGATCGAGAGTAATGACAGAATATACAAACCCCATTTAGAAAAAGATTTTTCATGAGTCCATTATCAAATTCTTTCTTATCATCCATTTTTTTAACGAGAGGACCAATTTGTTCTCGGGCGAATTTCGTTACTGAAGATATATAATTAATAGACAGTACCAGTGGATTTCATGACAGATTCCTCTTCAGTTAAAAAGTCTACTGGTAAGCGTGAACTAGATGAGAAGCGTAGAGAGCCTTTGGAAATTACACGGAAGATGGAAGGAAATATAAGAGGAAAGGCATAAAGAGAGGTGGACATTATAGAAGATAGCGGTTAAAATGGGACGGAGGGGATAATGCGTACCAAAAAAGGTCGAATCAAGAAAATAATATTTTTTATTATTAATAAACCTAAAAATAAACTTAAATAATTAATAACAAATATAAATAATAAAATAACATATACATGCAAATATTAGCTATAAAAATATTTTCCCTGTCTAGCATTCAAATTTGATTATTAAGGTAGATTGTTTATCCTATCTATATATCCGTGACTCATTTGTGACTTGGTATGCTTTTATGCGCAATGTGCTCCAGGTCTCCGTTTAGAATCATCTTTATTTTCATGATTGTTAATATATCCCTTCTATTTGCATCAATATGTAACAAACAGCAAGCTAAATTCAACTCTATTATTAGCTCTAATAAAGCTATTGACATCGTTAGTGTTCTTGAATATTAATTAATCCTAGTTTTATTTTAAAAATGATACTAAGGAAGCCATTCAGTTGACATGGGCAGGAGAAAATAGTGGTGTCTTGCTTTTAGTTACAATGACTGAAGGAGACAATGGATCGTTTCTGCCATCAGACATATATCGCAGGTAGCATTCATTTTTTAATTGTGAATAGTGATAATAACGGAAAAAACTTTACTAACATATCAGGCTTACTCGGTGAGAAGGTTTATATTCATCGGGATAATGGACTTCAGAGGCACCAAAATAACAAAGATTCCAAAGCTGTACTCTCCTTATCTATTATATTAATTTAGATTTTTATTGTGGGGTATAACACGACGAATATGAACAATTCCTTGCTATACGTTACAAATGATAGTGGAATATCATGGAGTAAATCCTACGTCCCTTTTATATTAAATGGACAAATGAGATTCTTTACCTACGACGCTAATGAAAGCTGGATACTTACTAAAGAAGAAGGATCAAATGTAAATATATATCTTAATTATTTTAAAAATAGAGACTTTTTCTTTCCGTAAATTTTGGAGATTCCTGGTCGCATATTCATTCAGATACATTGGATTACTTTTGGTCTCTCTATCCTCAGGACTCTCTGGGAACAATATTCGTTCTTCAAAAAGGCCCAAAACGAAATTGTTAATAAAGCACAATTTAACAGCAAAGTTTCATTTTTATAATCCATGTCAATCTATATTATTGTTTTATGCCTTTTAGACAACTTAATACTGCAGTCATCTTTTTACTACCCTGCCCTAGCCTTTGGCATGTATAGCTTTACTGGCACATCTGAGAGAGCTTTGAGGAAAAATTTTAATATAAAAGCAGTTAAAAACTATTGTTTATCACAAATAGTTTATTTTTACTATAAGTGATTAGCCTGCTCATTTCAGTTTATTGTGGACTTTTCGTTCACATATTTATTTAGCAATTAAGATCTAGTCAGACATACAAACAAACGAGCGTATTGTGCTTCTGGGACATATTAGAGGCACTTAAATAGGAGGCTTAACTTTTTATATCCAAGCTTACCTTAGGCACTCAGCTATCTAGTTAGCCTCACTATAAATGCATATATATTTGTACAGAAGACCTCAGCAGTATCTTATAATTGATGATTTTATTTTTTTATTTTAACATTAGCTGATGGATCTTTCGTAGGAAAATTGTCAAAATCTTCCGATAGAGGTGCTTCTTGGAAAGTAATCGCGAACAATGTCTTGCGAGTTTGGGCGCCACGCGGCATTTACACGGACTACCTAGCTAAGAGTTACTCAGATTCTAGGAACAGAGTTGGAAAGTTTCTTTACATCTCTCAAAATGATGATGATAATGAACTGACGAATTTCTTAAGTGTTTCTACAGATTCTGGGGTAAATTTCAAACGAGTTCATTTGCCTACTGTCCATCCAGATCGTGTAAGTATTCTAAGTTGTATTGGAATATGCGTTTATTTATTTAATTTTTATATGTATCGAGATAGATTAATTTTATTACTATAGACCAGAGTTGATATTTCATTCATTAATTTTTATTCAATTTGTAATCCCATATGACCCTATTTATTCAAAATGCTTCGTTCCATTCATATTTAGTGCTATTTTTCAGTTATATATTTCCATATATTTAGCTGCTTCATATTTTTGCTAGATTGCCGAAATATATGAGTCGCCACTGATACTTATCTAGTCCGTTTTTATCCAGTCATTTTAATTTGCACATATTCTCATCACTCGCTTATCAGCTATTCCAAGATTTTTATTTTTTTATCTTTGTCTTCATGAGAGCTATATTACTCATTTTATGGACTATATTATTTTTGAAAAAAGCATTTGAGAAATTTTTAGGACAAGTAATTTAGTTTCCTTTTTAATCGTATTCCTTTGAGGCGATTTATTTGAGTGTCTATTTG